GAGGGCCAACGTGAGGTTCTAAGGAGGGCCAACGTGAGGTTCTAAGGAGAGCCAACGTGAGGTTCTAAGAGGGCCAACGTGAGGTCATCAGAAGGGCCAGCGTGAGGTTCTAAGGAGGGCCAGCGTGAGGTCCTAAGGAGGGCCAACGTGAGGTTCTAAGGAGGGCCAGCGTGAGGTTCTAAGGAGGGCCAACGTGAGGTTCTCAGGAGGGCCAGCGTGAGTTTCTAAGGAGGGCCAGCGCGAGATCCTCAGGAGGGCCAGATTAAGGTATTTAGGAGGGGCATTATAAGATCTTTAGTGGCGAAGGGGGGTAGAGTAAGGTCTTTAGGAGGGCCGGGGTAAGATCTTTAGGGGGTAAGAGTACGACCTTTAAGGGGACCAGATAAAGAGCTTTAGGAGGGCAAGAGTATATTCTTTACTGTCAGAGCAAGTTCGGTAGGAGGGCTAGAGAAAGTTCTGTAACTAGTTGGACGGCTAGAGTAAGCTTCATATTAGGCCAGAGTTTGGTCTTTAAGGAGGCCTGATTAGTATTGATCAGGCCATGGTAAGGTCTTTAGTGGGGGTGTATTGGAGCAGAGTAGGGTTCTCGGCAACCCATGACTTTAGATGACATTACTTTGTGATGCAGAAGATGGAAATACGGCAGCATTTGATCTCTGGTTAATGACAATGTTCCCTCTAAGGTTTGCTGGTTCGTGTGCAAAATCATACAGTCTTATGCAAAGTTTTACGGCCTCAATTTTTTTTGTGTGCAAAATTTTACAGCCCACAAACACAAACACACTTACATGGAAATTTGCTGCGCGGATACTTAAAAATGCTGCGCGGCGTCTGTGAGTTATCTGCGCGTCCGCGCAGCTTAAAGGGAACATTGTTAATGACCCCCTTTTAACTTAATGAACCCCTTTTGACTTAATGACGCCCTTTTGACTTAGTGACCCCCTTTTGACTTAATGACCCCCTTTTGACTTAATGACCCCCTTTTGACTAAATGACCCCCTATTGACTTACTGACCCCTTTTTGACTTATGACCCCGTTTTGACTTGGTGGCCCTAGCGAAGTTGCCCACCCTGCATTTAGGGATAATTCGGCACAAAAAATGCATGTATTTCAAGTCTGTTCATGTTGGACACCGAATGTTATGTTCCCAACGAAACCATGCACAAATGTGCACATGCAAACACAGCGACATGACATACTGTCTAAGAGCAAAATTGGGACATTACATACTGTCTAAGAGCAAAACTGGGACATTACATACTGTCTAAGAGAAACTTACCATTTTTGGCTCCTGTATGGGAATATTATTTTCTGGGTTGTTTTTTTTCCCCAAAGTATCTCCATATCCTTACTCTTTGGATCTATCTTTCTTTATGAGCAAATATATTATTACACTTATTCATCTCTAAAATCTGTTCAAACTGAAAGATTTCAAATAGTTTGTCATTTTAAAATGTGCCTAATGTTATCACCTATGCCTAATGTTATCACCCATGCCTAATGTTATCACCTATGCCTAATGTTATCAAATATGTCTAATGGTATCACATATGCCTAATGTTATCACCTATGCCTAATGTTATCACATGTCTAATGTTATCACATGTTTAATGTTATCACCCATATCTTATTCCCGGGTGGGGTGGGGGTGGGTGCTTATCCCGGGAAAACGGGATCGAAGTAAATCTCCTCCCGGAGTTCATTTCCTGGAAGTCTGTCGTTTACTAACCATAGTGCAGGGATCTAAGGAAGTCTGTCGTTTACTAACCATAGTGCAGGGATCTAAGGAAGTCTGTCGTTTACTAACCATAGTGCAGGGATCCCGCGAAACCCTGGTGAGAAACCGTAATCACCAATCCACACAAAGATTTTCGTACTCCATCTCTCAACCCACCTCAAACCTAACAACGGTCGTGAACTTATTATTAGAATAGTGCACTGTCAACAGCACTGCCCCCCCTCCCCCAATCTTGAGAATATGGCACCAACTGCCAACAGCACCGCTCCCCCCCCACCCTATCTTGAGACTGTTGTCCACAGCACCGCCCCCTCCCTCCCCCTTCCCCCACACTCTTGAGAATATAGCATTAGAGTAACTTGCCCCAATGCAACCACGAGTCAACTCTTCCTCACAACTCTTTAATGATCGGAGAAAAAAAAAAAATATTGGTTGCTTAGAGGGCACCAAGTGAAATCACTGACTTGGCAGTGTTTAGGAGATGTTCTAGCAGATAACTAGCATAATAATAGGAAAAAATGCTTACGTCTGAGTAGCCCCTTAAGCAACCACCTGCCCGCCCTGCAACCAATGATTTGCCCTAAGTGCAACCACCTGACCACAGTGCAACCACAAAGGTGCCCTCACTGAAACCAGTTGTGATTTAAAGCTAAGGATCTCCCAATACACTCACACAGATACACACATAAAAACATACATAAATGTGACACATATAGACTAGACTACAACATTAAAACAAATAACTCATGCATTTTTTCATGACATTCATGGTTGATTTTTATTTAATTCTAACTAATAAAAAAAATTGCATTCTGAAATAGACTCTAGTCTAGACTAGTCTAGTCTAAATCTAGATCTAAATCCTCAAAATCATCTTCCGACTCGTCATCGAAAATCATTTGAGACTCATCAATGCTTGTATCTGTTTCAGAATCATCCATTTTGTTTGTCTTTCTCTTCTTCGGCCCTTTCCCTTTTGAATTGTCTTTCAGCTGTCTTTTCTCTTCCAGTTTCCTCTTTCTGTCTTCTTTTCGCCTTTGGTTTTCTTCCTCCCTCTGTCTTTTTTGTTCTTCTCGTAATTTTATTTTCTCTTCCTTTCTTTTTGCTTTCTCTTCTATAGCCTTTAATTTCTCTTGTTTCTTTTTTTCTAGGTCTATTTTTCTTATGGCCTTTCTTTCTTCTTCTTCTTTTTCTGCCCGGTCTTTGTTTATCAGATGGTCAATGAATTCTTTTCCACTGATCAGTGGTGGGAGCTTTTGTTGTGTTCTTCTTCTCATGGAGCTCTGTTTCAGAACAGGCAATGACAGTGGATCCTTTGCAACATTAGGTGGAGGATTTTGTCTGCTTGATTTGGAATGGTGCAATAGAATATTCCCATGATAAAGCTTCCATAATCTGTACAATGGGTCATCACAGTCATAACCCTCTTCCAGCCTTTCATAATATAGCCTTAACTCTGACTCTCCAATCTGTGCACAAATCATTGCAAATTTTTTTAAATTTGAAGCAATGTCAGATGAAGCATCGGGGCAGGTGCTTGTGCCAGCAATACATGGGGGTTCTGCTTCTGATGAACTAGAAGGCACTGGTACAGGGGCTGGTAGATCTAACTGTCAAACATCACTGCCCTCAAAATATTGAGCGACATACACATGATTCCTATCACATCAAACTCCAGAGTTATTTACCCAAGGCCCACAACTATGCGGCACAAGACTTGGCCGACTTGGGGATCCATCAGGGCGAGGCAAGTTGTTTTCATGGTTTCAACACCAGTGGTCACAGAAATATTCACTCCGAGGCGAGGGTTTCATATAAGACTTTCTAATGCAGTCATTGTCATGACGTAATGATTAAGAATATCTGGCATACACAAGTGTAATTGTCGCCAACACTTGTGTGGAATCGAACCATCTACCCTAGCAGATTTTTTGTAATCTTGAATTTTTAAAGAACTTGTTGGTAAGATGAAATAACAGGGGTGGGGTGGGGGGGGGCTGTAAATACCCATCTATGGCTCTATTTTGAAGATCACAACGTTTTTTTTTCTTTGAACTTCCAAGACTGAATGTTGTCATCAGTATCATTAGCAATACCGGTACTAGCATTTCTTTGTTTTAACATGGTGTCACTATTATAAACTAATTTTTTTTATAAATATCAATTTTTTTTGGCATGGTAGACAACTCATTAAAGTATCCGGGGGGGGGGGGGGGGGAATCTTACTTTTTTTTTTATTCCCCCCCTTTCCAATGTGTCTTTCTCTTTAAAAAATTTTTTTTTTTAAAATAAAACTTTAAAAAAATCCCCTCTAAAAAACAGCTGAATAAACTGGGCCAGCCAATGATATGACAAAGTAAACTTGTAAGAATCACTTTATTTAACATACATTTTTTATTTTAAATGTCAACATAATAAATATATTATTTGTATGCAGCAATAAAAGTCCATATTATTCAAATTATGTTCACAATTTTGGCCTCGGCATAGAAAAAAAAAAGTCAAATTTGTTGTAGACCCATTTTATATAACACCTGGTCAACAGCTGAGGCTGCAGCTTAGCTCTAATTTGCCTGATTGCTTCACTTCCTGGTCCCAAAAATGTGACATCACTTACTGATGGCCCCAAAAAGTGTGATGTCACTTACAATAGCCCCTTGATATAAAATAGTTAATTTTTATCATTGGATTTAGGTAAAAATTGGCTGTTAAGACTAGCATTAAGTAAATTTTAGTTAATAAGCTGAGCCTATGTACAATAATATTTTTAAAAATTAAACAGTTTACCTGCATAAGTAAAAAAAGAGAGGTTGGTAAAACCCATGAAGCCATTATATCACAATGTATACATAAGAAGGGAAATGGGTAAAAATGACTAGACGATGAAAAACTGTGAGGCTTTCTTTTTTTTCTTTTCATATTTGAGGGCCCACGGTCAATTTCTTGATCATTTTTGGCTCCTGGTTTGAATTCAGAGTTTGCCTTCTCTTAGATGAGTTGCCTAACAAGGCTGCCGAGTTCCATCCACCCGGGGTGCTTGGAATGTTGGCTTTGGTGGGCTGGTGGGGATTGAACTCCAGACCACCAGCTACTGGGATGGAGTCAGTTTACACCGCTCGGCCATCCAGCACCCTGCTTGGCTTCTTTGAATGACAGAGGTTTGGAATATCTTTTCAACTCAAGCCCTCAGTTATGTCAGATTTATATTGTATTTAAATTTCATTTCAGAAGCATAGTAGTTTTGTTATTTTTATAATCACAAACAAAATTCTTGAAAAGTGAACTATAAAAACAATGGGCCAATGAAGGCTAAAATAAATATATCCAAAAATGTATATTTTTTCAAAAATGGATTTGCATCCAATGAACACATACAAAATTAGCAGTGTCTTGTAAACTGATTGAGAGTCTCTTGTTGCCAGTCGGTCAAAGCACAAACAACTTAATCAGCATCCATCAAATGGAAATAATCCATGGATCACTTGTCTTAGGATGAGCCGGTTATCCATGACTATCTGTTGCACTAAGCCTTTGACTTGTTTTAAGTCCTCAAGAGATACATTTTCTGGGAGCCTTTGTCTTGCTTCTTGATTTACAGCTGGATGATAAGATTAAACCACTATGTTACTCACATATGGATATATGCATTACTTAAAACAAGTATGTTACAAATCTGAAATGTGGATTAGTGTCAGTAGTAAAAATGATTTCACTAACAACTGGTTGTGTGGATTAGTGTCAGTAATAACAATTATTTCACTAACAACTGGATGTGTAGATTAGTGTCAGTAGTAACAATTATTTCACTAACAAACTAAGAACTAGAGGTGTTGATTAGTGTCGGTAGTAAAAATTATTTCAATAACAACTGGATGTGTGGATTAGTGTCAGTAGTAACAATTATTTCACTAACAACTGGATGTGTGGATTAGTGTCAGTAGTAACAATTATTTCACTAACAACTGGATGTGTGGATTAGTGTCAGTAGTAACAAATTATTTCACTAACAACTGGATGTGTGAATTAGTGTCAGTAGTAACAATTATTTCACTAATAACTGGATGTGTGGATTAGTGTCAGTAGTAACAATTATTTCACTAACAACTGGATGTGTGGATGAGGGTCAGTAGTAACAATTATTTCACTAACAACTGGATGTGTGGAATTAGTGTCAGTAGTAACAAATTATTTCACTAACAACTGGATGTGTGGATTAGTGTCAGTAGTAACAAATATTTCACTAACAACTGGATGTGTGGATTAGTGTCAGTAGTAACAAATTATTTCACTAACAACTAGATGTGTAGATTAGTGTCAGCAGTAACAATTATTTCACTAACAACTGGATGTGTGGATTAGTGTCAGTAGTAACAATTATTTCACTAACAACTGGATGTGTGGAATTAGTGTCAGTAGTAACAAATTATTTCACTAACAAACTAAGAACTAGATGTGTGGATTAGTGTCAGTAGTAACAATTATTTCACTAACAACTGGATGTGTGGATTGGTGTCAGTAGTAACAATTATTTCACTAACAACTGGATGTGTGGATTAGTGTCAGCAGTAACAATTATTTCACTAACAACTGGATGTGTGGATTAGTGTTAGAAGTAACAATTATTTCACTAACAACTGGATGTGTGGATTAGTGTCAGTAGTAAAAATTATTTCACTAACAACTGGATGTGTGGATTGGTGTCAGTTGTAACAATTATTTCACTAACAACTGGATGTGTGGATTAGTGTCAGTAGTAACAATTATTTCACTAACAAACTAAGAACTAGAGGTGTTGATTAGTGTCGGTAGTAACAATTATTTCACTAACAACTGGATGTGTGGATTAGTGTCAGTAGTAACAATTATTTCACTAACAACTGGATGTGTGGATTAGTGTCAGTAGTAACAAATTATTTCACTAACAACTGGATGTGTTGATTAGTGTCAGTAGTAACAATTATTTCACTAATAACTGGATGTGTGGATTAGTGTCAGTAGTAACAATTATTTCACTAACAACTGGATGTGTGGATTAGTGTCAGTAGTAACAATTATTTCACTAACAACTGGATGTGTGGAATTAGTGTCAGTAGTAACAAATTATTTCACTAACAATTGGATGTGTGGATTAGTGTCAGCAGTAACAATTATTTCACTAACAACTGGATGTGTGGATTAGTGTCAGTAGTAACAAATTATTTCACTAACAACTGGATGTGTAGATTAGTGTCAGCAGTAACAATTATTTCACTAACAACTGGATGTGTGGATTAGTGTCAGTAGTAACAATTATTTCACTAACAACTGGATGTGTGGATTAGTGTCAGTAGTAACAATTATTTCACTAACAACTGGATGTGTGGAATTAGTGTCAGTAGTAACAAATTATTTCACTAACAATTGGATGTGTGGATTAGTGTCAGCAGTAACAATTATTTCACTAACAACTGGATGTGTGGATTAGTGTCAGTAGTAAAAATTATTTCACTAACAAACTAAGAACTAGAGGTGTGGATTAGTTTCGGTAGTAAAAATTATTTCACTAACAACTGGATGTGTGGATAAGTGTCAAGCGGTTACATTACGATTCCTACAGAAGAATTCAAGATTAACTTCAGAGGTAATATATTCAGGTAACTTCTGCAAAGATTTTCTCCTATCTTAAATACCGTGTGCTGTGTGACTCACAGGCGTGTGGGACGATATTATTTTAGGGTGGGCTTAACTGAAAGCTCACAAAGCTACACAGTAAATATTTTCCTATGGCTGAGCAAAGCTCCTACACATCAATACACTGTTACACCAATAGCTCCTACACATCAATACCCTGTTACACCAATAAGTCCTACACATCAATACCATGTTACAACAATAAGTCCTACACATCAATACCATGTTACAACAATGAGTCCCACACATCAATACCCTGTTATACAAACAAATAACCCAAAGAGCTAGTTCTGAAACCCTGATGGTAAGTTAACGCTAAGAAATGTAATTATATCTACCGTACTGGTTGCACAAACATTTTGTTTTCACAAAGATACAACTTAAAGATTTTTATGATATTCCTGAAGCAAGGCTATCAATAGCATTTCATTCAGCATGAAGCTACATCAATAGAACTTTGACAAAAACATTTTGAAAAACATCTAGAATTTAATGCAAAAAAAAAAAAATTAAAAATTTTTTATATTCTAGGCGGTATTCCTTCTGACAATGGGAAAATATATCCGGGGTTCTAATAACAGTCCACTTTGAGGATTTATTCATTTATAATTTTTAAAAATTGCAGCAAAAGTTGGAGTGTAAGCACACATAAAATAATTATGAATTTTTGTGATTATTTTGTGTTGCCTTGAAAAATTAATTTTTTTCTTTTGTTTGTTCAAGAAAAGCCAATTGATGGTCCAGCCAGGCCATGGTCCAGCCAGGTGATGGTCCAGCCAGGTGATGGCCCAGCCAGGCGATGGCCCAGTAAGCCAACAAAATGTCACATTGTAAATTGTAAACCCAAATGTAAATTTAGTCAATAAAAGATGACAAACATTACCTAGAATTGAACAGGACATGTACAGTGCTACAAATGTCCCTCCTGAAAACAGTTCCTTGGGTGTTGGGAACTCATGAGCGATACCAAGCACATTACCAAGGAATGCATAGGCGTGCCTGTAAAGGGCCTGCATTCGCAAAAATAAAAAAAAAATTTAAGTAAGATTTTTTTTTAATTAACAGACAGCTGTGTAAAAAGAAGATCTAAAATATATGCTTGTGCATTGCATGTGTGTCATCATTTAAACTGAAGGCAGGATTTTTAAATTTTTTTTTAACATCAAAATGTGTATCGCCTCTTTTACTTTTACTTAAATTGTTAAGAATTATAAAAACTGCGTGGCTTGATGATCTACTACATATAAATCATTAACACAACAGCTTGATGAAACCCTTACACTTCTGATATATTTTCGTTTTACTTTATAAATTGTCCAAGCTTATTGTATCTTAGAAGGACAAAGTTTAACATCCCCCCCCCTGCCCATAATTGCTATCAATCATGCAAACACCACTGGTCAATCCAAATAAATACCCAACAATAGTCAGGGAAATCCAGGAGAAAAAGTGTATGTTAAGCTGTATGTTCAGTTGTAGTTAAATTGAACATTTGAATGATTGCTTCAACTGTATATTTTTTGTTAATAAAATATAACTTCAGAATAATACATACATAAATGATGAGGGTACAAAATTTTTGTCTTCTCTGCCTCTTTCAATTCTTTTTTGAAATCTTTGCCAACTCTTTCCAATTTGGTATTTCTCATCTAAAGCACATCCGTGTCTAGCTCTATAATACAGCTGTTTTTTGGGGTCTTTCCTAACCTCTTGATCTTTGAGGGTTTCCCCCAGCCTGCCTGCCTAGTTATTTTTGGCATCAGTATTCTTGTGGTATGACCTTATGCACCCACTAGACAACTCCGCTCATCCGATAGTGGCAAACTCTCGATACCGTGTGTTCGCCTTGAGACTTACAGAAGGCGCACTTTCGCTTTTGCTGGCACAACAATTTGAAATTCCAATTCCTGTCGCTCTCAGAAACAGCCAGACACTTGAGTTCTTCAAAACTGATTTGAAAACACATCTATTTCGAAAACACCTGATAGGGTCTACAATCTTTTTCCAGCTAGCTATTGTCTCCTAGATGTATATTGACTTGTGTTGTTTATGGTTGCAAGGGATGAAAGACCTTGAATGTGTATGCTAGTATGTGGTTTTTGTATTGTTGTGTTTTGTATTTCGATGTGGTAAAATATAGATTGTTTTTCATTTCTCTTTTAATATAGTTAATTTTTGTACAGCGCTTCGAGCCTTTGGGCATGAAGCATGATTTTAAAATAAACTATTATTATTATTATAAAGCTCCAACTTTTTTTTCTGAAATTCTTGCTCCACTGGGATTTGTGCTGTCTTACCCCTCACTGCTGCATTTGAGATTTTGTGGAAAAACTTGATATTTTGGATTCTGCGGTTAGGGTTAGGGGTAGGTAAACTCATGGGACATTACCACTCTGCCCTTAATGCCTCACCAGTGGTAAGTAAACTAATGGGACATTACCACTCCGCCCTTAAAGCCTCACCAGTGGTAAGTAAACTAATGGGACATTACCACTCCGCCCTTAAAGCCTCACCAGTGGTAAGTAAACTAATGGGACATTACCACTCCGCCCTTAAAGCCTCACCAGTGGTAGGTAAACTCATGGGACATTACCACTCTGCCCTTAATGCCTCACCAGTGGTAAGTAAACTAATGGGACATTACCACTCCGCCCTTAATGCCTCACCAGTGGTAAGTAAACTAATGGGACATTACCACTCCGCCCTTAATGCCTCACCAGTGGTAAGTAAACTAATGGGACATTACCACTCCGCCCTTAATGCCTCACCAGTGGTAAGTAAACTAATGGGACATTACCACTCCGCCCTTAAAGCCTCACCAGTGGTAAGTAAACTAATGGGACATTACCACTCTGCCCTTAATGCCTCACCAGTGGTAAGTAAACTAATGGGACATTACCACTCCGCCCTTAAAGCCTCACCAGTGGTAGGTAAACTAATGGGACATTACCACTCTGCCCTTAAAGCCTCACCAGTGGTGGGTAAACTCAAGGCAGCTGCTGCCCCAAACCGAATTCAAGATATGAAATATGCCCCACTGAACATACTTGATCAACCACTCATTTCCCCACGCACTGATACAGGACATAATTTTAAAGCTCAGCTGACCTGAAACCAGTTTTCCACCGTCACACATCGAACACTGGGCACGAACTTAAACAAATGAAAGCGTCTTGGCTCATGACAGGCCATCGTCCATGCCGCCAGCACAAAAAACTCTTCGGGGTGCAAGTACAGATTTCGCTGCCAGTTCAACTTCAAGAAATAGCGCAGCAGGTAGCACAGGAAGCCCATGCGCATCCCATAGAGCTTGAAATAAGACCTACCTGAAAACAAAGGGGAACTCAAAATAAGACCTCCAGTAAGGAAATTAGACCTAGGTAAGATTTCCCAGTTAGGAAATTAGACTGAAGTAAGATTTCTCATCTAGAAAATCGACACTAAATAACATCTTATAGTTAGGACATAAAGGCTTAATTTCGCCAAAAAGAAATATAATAATTGATTTTACCATATTGACCACTGTGGTATCATGAGCTGAGATAATAATTATTTTTTTAAAAATCATACAAGTATTTTTTTGTCCATGTGGAGTTGTGATCATATCCATAATCACGTCCTTGTTATCTTGAGGAAAAAAAATGGGCAACTCCTCTGGTAGTCATATCTCTGGACAGGTTTGACTGCCATGGCAACAACAAGAAAACAACATGCCTTTCATCATAGCCTGCGGCTCTTGGTGCTGTATGATTATCTCAAACAAGCAGACGTTGGCAGAGAAGGAATTCTTTCTTACTTGGGCAAGGGACGGAATCCTGACGTTTTCTGCTTTCTTTACCTGCAAAGAGTTCATGACCATGACACAGAGAAGCAAACATTGCTCACCTCTCTAAATGCGCAAATAATTTCTTTTTAAATTTGGGGAAATTTCTTAACACTGACATCACTTAATTCCCCAGTCACTGTGGATGTCCTATTTTATAAATGAAGTTAGAGCAGGACTGCAAAATTAGGATGGGGTGGATACCATAAAATGTCTAAATACCCCGCATTATCTCAAAACCCAGTAATATCTACATACCATACACTGTGTGATTACCGGTATTATCTGAATACCCTGCATTACCAAAATACCCTGCATCATCGGAATACAGACCTGCCAACAAAAAAATCTGTAGGGGGGTGCATGCAGGAGGGCGCTGCCCCCCAAGGAGGTGGCACGGGGGTGGGGGGGGGGCATTGGTTTAAGATCTATAAACTAAAGAACAAGCCTTTTTTAGTAAATAAAGAAATATAAAGTTAACTCCATTGTCTTTGAAGAGTCCACTGACTGGAAATGTTTATAAGCAAGTGTATACAGTACAGGACAGAAGATCCACTTTATACATATTTACACAGGCTGTTAAGAGTTTAGTTTTCCAGCATATTCCTAGATCCTAGTGGTCCAACAGCTCTTTGGACAACTGAAGGTTAGCATAGCAAATGATTTTTACATACAAGCAAGTTAGAAAGAGTATCAACTTTCACTTGTTTCATTGTAATTTTTCTTTACAATATTTTAGCAATCTGCGATTCTGGAAATATTTCTTTGACTCTGGCATTAAAACAATCAGAGTTGGCTAGAGAAATATGTCCTTCAATAAGAAAGGTGGTAAATAAAATAAACCTCAGTGTGGGCCGTGCGGCCGGAGTGATCGCCGAATTCCAGAATCCGAACGGCAGCTTCAATTGTGTCACTATTGCGACCGCGATTTTTGGTGCCGCGGGGTTTGGTGATGTTTAAAGTTAAAATATGTTTATATGTTTGTTAATGTACCCACCAATTTCTACAGATTTAACCATTTAATTAAGAAAAGCTTTAACAAAAAAAAAAGGCTGAATTATTTTTTAGCCCATCGGATCAGTTGAAGATTGAAGAATTATTTGGAGATCACTGTTCGCTTCGATAAAGACAAGGCAGTGTCTACACCGGACAAATAGTGCAGGAGATAATCATCCGGTGGGCTTGCCACGCTTTATTAAAAACATTGTCATTTTTTAACCGACTGTTCATTAAGTATATCAGTACCAGCAATGGTTCTAGTACGGTATTTCTTTTGTAGAATTGAACAAGTTTCTATTTCATGTAAATGTCCAGGCTATTTTGAATTTGTTGAAATGAAGTGCTGTAAACTCTGATCAACAATTAGCGGTCACATGACAAGGCTGACTGACAAATATCTCGTGAGACTTTGTTAGGCTCGTCATGTGATTTGGTCAAATCTATAGTAGCCCGACGAATATCTCGAGAACTTGTTCACTTATTCGTCCAGTCTACGGACATGTAGACACTTCGTAAAAACAAATGCAACACTTCCTGACATACCCGATTTTTTTCTGGGATTTTTTTGGTCGCTTCGGGATTTTTATGACAGGTGAAAAATTATAAAGTTCAAAACATCGGATTTAAATGGCTTTGTCGGAAGGTCGGAGTGAGGGGTAAAAAATCTGTATAATTCCGACAAAATCGGAAGGGTTGGCAGGTCTGGGAATACCCTGCATTATCTGAATACCCTGCATTATCTGAATACCCTGCAATATTTAAATACCCTGCATTATCTGAATACCCTGTATTATTTAAATACCCTGCATTATCTGAATACCCTGCATTATCTGAATACCCTGCATTATTTAAATACCCTGCATTATCTGAATACCCTGTATTATTTAAATACCCTGCATTATCTGAATACCCTGCATTATCTGAATACCCTGTATTATCTGAATACCCTGCATTATCTGAATACCCTGTATTATCTGAATACCCTGCATTACCTGAATACCCTGTATTATCTGAATACCCTGCATTGTCTGAATACGCTGTATTATCTGAATACCCTGCATTATCTGAATACCCTGTATTATCTGAATACCCTGCATTGTCTGAATACCCTGCATAATCTGCATACCCTGCATTATCTTTCAGATAAAGTATGCCCCCACTAAATGTCTTAGTGTGAGAGAATGCAAACAAATTTCAATAATGCTTGGACAGCTCAATCACTGAGTTTTTTGGACTTTCTACTTTCTCTGCATCTTGGGCAATGCCTGCAAGTAGGGCTTTAATGGTAGATTATGTCAAATGTTTCATTACTTTGATTTTCTATTAAATAAACCTTCGCCCTACTGGCCTACCCTCATACTTTATGCCTTTCACAGTGTTGAGTTCTTCCTAGCCCGACATAACTTTAATGAATCCAGCCTGATAAAAACTTGGTTAAATTTTTCAGATTTTGGCTGTTTGCCCACTAATTCTACACCATCAACATCACATTGCAAACAAATCACAATACATGGCCACAGGATGCCAAAGATGACATTGAGGAACACACAAAGCAAACACACTCGGGTCTCATTCATCAACTGTTGCGATGAACGTCCGATCTCCACAATCTCGTGTCTGTCGGGAGGGAGTACAAGCTTGTACACATAGGAGCGTAGAGTTGACAATGTTTCCTCTGCCCCTGGAAGGTGGGGTCCTGGTTCCTCTAAGATCTGACAAAAAATATGGAGTGTTATTTCTGAAAAGACTATTAATCCAACTCCACCACGTTACTGACAAGGTTAGCGAGATAAGCTTTATGTTTATGCTCTTATTGAAGCCATAACAATCTCATAACAAAACAAAAAAGTAACAATCTCTTCTCTGTACGAACAAATTAACAGGTGAACTTATATTTGAATTGCATTCATTCAGCTTGTAAAGTTGACCTAATGATGCCATTGTTTGTAAAGTTGACCTAATGGTGCCATTGTTTGTAAAATTGACCTAATGGGGCCATTGTTTGTAAAATTGACCTAATGGTGCCATTGTTTGTAAAGTTGACCTAATGGTGCCATTGTTTGTAAAGTTGACCTAATGGTGCCATTGTTTGTAAAGTTGACCTAATGGTGCCATTGTTTGTAAATTTGACCGGATGGTGCCAAATCTTTGTTAAACTGACCTGCCGGTGCCAATATGTCCCAAGGTGCATTGATACTATTGTGCTGGGCAGTTGCCCTCGCCTGATGCCATCAACTATCAAATTGAAGATGTAACCCTTCTGGTGCTCCTCCTCATCGGCCAGGGTCAAGGAGTAGAACTGGCGAGAATGATTGACGGCATCCTGAAAGTTACTGTCATGGGCCTGGCGGGGGTGGGGTGGGTTGTTGGTCAATATTTTATTCACTTTGTTTTCAAGACATTACAAAATCATTAAACAATTTCCTGGCGCACTTTTCAAAGTCTAACGAAATTCAGTTTCAAAAACACTGATACTTGCCATGTACTCTCCAAAGAATTCACAATTATCTGCTGTCCCGTTCTCATTGATCAGAGAGGCTATCTTGTCAAACTGCCCCAAGTAATTCTCTCTGAATACTTTTTTGGTGACAAGAAACGGCAGAGTGAAATCATTCCCACTGATGGTGGCCAGCTCAACAAGGGCTTTGTGGTTAGGTAACTGTGAAATATATGAAAAGTTATGGTAATCAAACATTACGATGCTTATACCCACTGAAAATCATTGGATAACAAATTATACAACAATTCATTTTTGGGCAAATTTACGCAAGTTTTTTGTTGTTTTTTTTTAGTATAAACCTGGAATAGTGAATGACCTGAAAAATTTTACAGTTTGATTTTCCCACACAGGTGAAATTACTTTCCAATATATTGTGGGCAATGTGGAGAGTCGCATCTTGGGTTGTGCAAGTGGGTGGACAATGTGGAGAGTCGCATCTTGGGTTGTGCAAGTGGGTGGACAATTGTCACAGGTAAGAAAACCGGACACACTGACCACCTGTCCTACTATATCGGATTGCAACAGGACCAGGCTAGTAGACCATGATGGTAACAGTAATAAATCAAAGGCATTGGAATGCAGAGGCTGATGGCTAGTTAGTGAGAAATTTCCATGCAGTACGAGGTGTGAGGAAACCTTCACCGGTGAGTAGATCCATCGGATTGCATGCAACATGGACAGTGGACATCAATGAAGGGTGGTTGTTTGATGAGAAATGCCCATGTAGACTGGGGAAGCGTGAAGTTAATCTTAGTACCAGGGTGGAGAACATGTTGCTAGCACAGGTGTGGAAATATACGGCCATGGGAGGGAATCTCTAGAAATGCCATGACTAATTCGGGGACTGCTTAAAGGAGACAGTTGGGGGGTGGAACTACATCAGAACTCAGCCGGAGAGAAGCAGAATATAGTCGGAGCACAGTAGTGATGGTAGTTGAGGTACCGACTGGACTGTAGAAAAGGGTGAGCCGTGACAGTCAGAGCTGAGTATCAGACAAGTGAAAGTGATAGCACTAAGCAATTGTGGCAGATAAATCAAAGAGTAGAGCTGTTACCATCAGCATGTTGTAACACCCGATTGTTGCTGTGCGAGTGGCAGAGAAAGAAAGGGATATCATCCAAACAAAAGTAGCAGACAGCACAACAAGATTGTTTGGGTTCTATAATAAGGGAAGAGACTGCAATCACGTAAGCAAAAAAGGTAATGAGTAAAACAAAGTATTTCAAACGTTCGTTGTTTTGTTGCCTTCCTTTTTTCATGTTTGACCATACTTTGTTTTACTTATTTCCTTTTCAGGTTCTATACAATTTTAAAACATTTTTTTTTCTTGTATAATATTTTGAAATGAAATGGCTCAAAATTCAGCACACTAAAAGGTTTTAAAGGGTATTTGGGGTAATGTTGGTGTTGGGTAGTGACAGAGAGTGTTTTGGGGGAATGTTGGTGTTGGGGGTGGTTTGGGGGAATGTTGGTGTTGGGTGGTGACAGAGGGTGTTTTAGGGGAATGTTTGTGTTGGTTGGTGACAGAGGGTGTTTTGGGGCTATGTTGGTGTTGGGTGGTGACAGAAGGTGTTTTTTGAGGGAATTTTGGTGTTGGGTGGTGACAGAGGGTGTTGGGGGTATGTTGGTGTTGGGTGGTGACAGAGGGTGTTTTGGGGGAATGTTGGTGTTGGTTTGAGACAGCGGGTATTTGGGGGGGGGGATGTTGGTGTTGGTTGGAGAATGTTGGTGTTGGGTGGTGACAGAGGGTGTTTTGGGGGAATGTTGGTGTTGGTTTGAGACAGAGGGTATTTGGGGGGGGGGATGTTGGTGTTGGTTGGAGACACAGTGTTTTGGGGGAATGTTGGTGTTGGGTGGTGACAGAGGGTGTTTTGGGGGAATGTTGTGTTAAATGGTGACAGAAGGTGTTTTGGGGGAATGTTGGTGTTAGGTGGTGACACAGGGTGTTTTGGGGAAATGTTGGCGTTGGGTGACTAGTGACTCAAATTTTACAAATTTAAACCATCATCACTCAAGCATTTGAATTATTGTTGTAAACCAGAGCACAGACATTTTAAAGTAAAAACCCTTTTATTATATGTGAGTTACATTTAGCACTTTCATAATGCTGTCCGTTCGTATGATCCCACAGATTAACTTCTCTGGAATTTGCGGAGCAAAAGACTTGAGTCCAAGGCCCAGATGATTATCGAGGTCAAACAGCTCTTGAGAGATGTACACACTGTCTGGAAAAATGAGGAAGTCTGTGTCATTGCTGAAGATCCCGAAGGCCTGATCATCTGCCAAGAGGTGTTGGGCCAGTGTAAAGTCTGCCTCACCTGTGCCAGAAAACAAACTATTTAATTAAAGTTTACACCATCTCTATGTTAAAAACAAATGATTCAAATGATCTAACACAGTGCTGTCCGAACAGCGGCACGCATGTGGCCCGCAAACTGATTTTAACTGTTAACTACCATAAAACCGTTGGTAGCGCCCAACTTTTTTTCTATCATGGCCATGTTCGGATGTGAGCATCACTGTTTATTTCATAGTAAAGCTAATGATATATTTATATTCTTGCTTTTGTTTCAGTTCATGATTTTCATTTACAGACAGGGAGATAATTTAATAAACACTGGGGACAGTCAGAATGTAATTAAAAAAATATTATAAATATGCTATTTGACATGAAAACTACCTAAACTACCCTCAAAACATGACAAAAATATTTTTTGATGATAGTGAAGTATTTTCCATGGCAACTAGTGATAAGGTTACCAAAAGCCATACTGTAAATAAGTTAGAGATATGTTTATTCAATTGTTGATTTGTTTAAATTTAGAAATCTTTATCTAACTTTTTGTAGATGTGATTATGTAAATTTTTATAGATGTGATTATGTAAATTGTTGTAGATGTGATTATGTAAATTATCCGAAGTGTAAATAATAATTAATTATTTTTTTTAATTCAAAACTTGAAGGTAAGCAGGCGCATTTTTATAATTTTTTACGTGCCTTTTTCTTGAAAATAATAATTTAACAATATTAACAAAAAATTTGTTTTAGCTTTATCCTAAAGAAAATTAATTTCTCTACAAAATGGTATTTTACTTTTACTTATAAAAATTTGTTAATAAAGTCAGAAAATGGCAACTGACTTTGTACATAGAACTGCATGGGGGGAAAAAGTGACCTACATTTAATTCAGCCACACATTTTTCAATGTGGCAGGCAATCAGCTAAATGGCCTGTCCAGAGCTTGAGAATTACTTATGATCTAAAACATTTTAGGGTGAAAATATTTTCAAACAACATTCAATTGATTCTGTATCTTTGAAAACCGCGTGCAGTCACAGAATAAGTTGCAACATGTAAAAAGGGGGTAGGCGTAAAAAGCCTAGGAGAGCGGAATGGCTTGACAAGTAGTGGTAATCTACGTGAAGCACTTTAGCAAAGCAACCATTCTGAAACATGAGGTGACATTAAATCGGATACATCTCATCCTTCTTTCTGTTTATGTGTACAGGGGAGGCGTCACGCGTTATCGGGTATAATTTCTGACGGTGTTGGGAAAGATGAATTGTGAAACCAAAAGTAACTTGATTTGTAGCCATTAGGTCATCATAAAATTGCCCATGCCTTCAACATCAGACGGTGCTTTGTAGGAGGACAATAATATGTCAGCAAAGTCTTTGGGTCAGAGTAATCGAGGTGGGAGCTCGGCTTCTAAGGGTGTCACAAATGACTGCAGCCATGGGCAGTGAGAACCATTTATGACACCATGTTATTTAAACAGGTGGTCTAGCCAGGTATAGGTGGAGTGTTTGTCCATCCTGTATTGTTGTGACCTTAGGGACAAGTACCTGGTATTCAGCTCTCTGAGTATGTTACGTTTAATGAGTAGAAATCAGGATACAACCTGTGTTTGTTTGTAGTTGGTGCAATTCAGTCAGGTAAGAATTCTGAGAGACAGTAGGAACGATTCTTGAAAGTATTTATTTTTTTTATAAACATAATAATGCATGGCAAAATGAATTTTTGATGATGTATGTTTCTCCAGATGAATTTCTGCAACTATTGGCCCAAGGATGGAGTTAAAAAGATTGAAGGTTTATCTAACCTATATTTTAATGGTAACAGTCTTCATTTGATATCAAAGAATGGTTTGTAAACACTGTTAACTCTTTCGCTGCTGTGCAATGCACAGTGTGTTCATCTGCCGTTCTAAGAAGCACAGATCAATCCGCTCTGTGTTGTTTCAATATCATGTTTGTTTCTTTGCTATTTCTCGGTTAAACTTATTAAGAGCTAATTTTTAATAAAACTTTTACATAGAAGAGTGGTACTTCATAGTCTATATGCGAAACAAGACTTTATTTTTTGTCATTTGAAGCATTATTTTAATGATTGTTTTTGCTATTTTTTTCTACAGTTGCCATGGCTACCCTAGGCCCTAGTAGGTGAGTAAGTTTCCTAAGACCATTAACAGCTCAAAAAGCTTTGCAATTGTTTTATACTATTTCTTTTGATAGTGAAGATAATTTATATTTAGATCCATCACATGATTCCGATAGCAGTAGTTTTAGAGGATTTGAGTAATAGAAGTGAAGATGAGCTATGCGTACATCATAGGGTTTGGGGAAAAAATGATTTTACATATGTTTTCAAATTTTATGATTCTTTTCTGTTACTTATTTTATCTAAACTGAAGAAATAAGTTTCAAACATATAGTCCATTCAATTATCTTTCATTTGATACCAAGTTTAGTCTTATAAACCAAACCATCATATTATAAATATTTTAAAATAAATCCAGCCTCTCACTCTTTTTTGCTCTTTGAAAAAAAAAAAAGTACATTTTTAAAATTAAAAAATTCACCAGCAAAAGAGTTCATAATGCTGAAAAACCACCTCATTTACAAAAAATGGTTTATTTGACTGAAAATGCCTTTGTGAGTTGTGATAAAGGTAGGTGATACAGTTCTGTATCACACAAAGGGAGTCACACTAAAATAAAATTCAGCTAATTTATCATCAAAAGATTTTACTATATTGCCACAGAGGGTAAAGTTAGCATTCTTGCATACTCCAAGAAGCATTTGCCCTTTTGTAGATGTGAGTGGTAACTATTTAATTCCCTATTTTGTCTGCCCACATAAAATTGAGTTCAAATTATAGTTAACTGCAAGCATACAATTATTGTCCAGTCAAGCATTGTTATAACTTTGATTATATGCGCAAATGTGCAATTAAATTTAATTCCAAACCTGAAACACGTAGATAAAGTTTACAGCCTGCTTCCTGTAGGGTCAACACATTCTGGACTTCTTGCAGGCAAGGTCGAGGCAGCCTTCGGAGGACAACACCGGATAGTGGTACCTGGATTATTGCAAAAGAGGAACAAACATGTGCAATGCAATACAGTAAAGTTAACTTTCATAATTGGTTTTAAAATTCCATAGTTGTAAATATAACACATTAATTTTTGTTTATTCAACAAGATTCCTAATAAAAATCCCATTAAATTCACTTTAATACAAAACAAAAAAACAATTCTGTCACTCAGCTCAAACTAATTCTGTCAAAAAGCTAAAAACTAATTCTGTCAGTACGCTAAAAACTAATTCAATCATCAGCTAAAAACAAAGTCCGTCACTCAGGTAAAAACAAATCCCGTAACTCGGCTAAAAACTAATCCCATCACTCGGCTAAAAACTAATACAATCACTCTGCTAATAAAAAATTCACAATAAAAGAAATAAATTTTAGATTTCAGGCCAATGAATATGAAAAACTTTTATGCATCATTTTTTTTTTTTTTAAATAGCAGAAATACTTACCTGTCCTCTTAAATACTGAAAACACTTATTTAAATTCCTCTGTGTTTCCAAATATCTTCGCTTCCAAGTCTGAAGTTTTTGTTTTGAAGAATGGTATGCGCTGCCTTTGGCTCCATCCAGATAAAAGACCAACTCAATATTAACACTCCGCAATATTAGAATAAAACTCTTGATGTATTCGTCCATTAGCTTGTACTCCCCACCAGCAAACATCAAAGATTTGTTCTCTGTTAATTCACAAATGGAATTCCAGAATCTTTCAGTCATAAAATGCTCCCAACAGTAAAAATCCACCAGAATTTTCATTCCCTGGGGGTAGCCTTTAGCCAGCTCAATGAGATCAACATAGGAGACAACAGCATCTCTATGCGTATTCATTATATATGTCCAAAACCTACTCACACCCATGGCTGATAAGTGTTTTTGGCTTGTCAGGGGCCTGGAAAGATTCATAATATTTAACTATGTGAATGTGTCAAAAATATTAAATGTTCTGATGAAAAAATGGATGTCAAAGAACAAAGTTAAAATAATTGGACTGTTTGGTTATAATGGTTTGGAGAACTCTCTGTGTTTGAATAAACAGAAATGCACTCTCACCAAAGTAATAAATGACAAGGCAACAGAATAAACACTTACTGAGTGCACAGTATAAACCAAATTTACCAAAAAATTCAAATAAAAATAATGAATGATAATATATAAATAACTTATTAATAATAGTCCGTTGGCCGTTGGGGATAGGAAGGAGGGGGAAAAGGTTTGCCAAATCACATCTGAGTCACACTCACTCACTCTCACAATACCACTAGCATTCTAACAGTACAGTACACTGAGTGCACAAAGCCAAAGTGAATCAGTAAAACATTCACTTTGTCAGTGTACACTTAGTCTTAGACTTTACTGAAATTACTTAAGTGACTTTCACTTTAAACTTTAGGATTAAATTTAATGCTTTTTTTTAGACTTTTAAGTTTTGGCTGTGGCTGTTCAGACCAGGGTCGCTTTAGACTAAATTACTTTTCGAATGTCATTTGTGGTAGCTTACTTTAGTTAAAATGAAGACGTAAGTTTACAAACTTATACTTAACTTATAGTCTATAGTCCATTCACTTATCTTTCATTTTATACAAAAGTTTGTCTTAAAAACGCAAAAATAATATTTAAAACATTTTTTAATAAACCCAACCTCTCACGTGTGACTATTTTCCAGGTCCGAAGAACAGCCACTTCTTTATATTTAAGTTTTCATTATTTTCCTAATATTAGTAGCCTATCATGGTCTATCTATATTATGGTTATTCTATTCGAAGTCAAAGTCTATTGCCATTGCTTGTTGTAACCTATTAAACTATTAATTATTATGATTATAATTTATAATAATAATATTATGCCTATTATTATTATTACTATTTAAGACTATTACTATTACTATAACTATTAATTACTAATTTAGTCAATGAATTGATACTGTCTCACTGTGCTCTGTTAATTAATTTAAAGATAATTAAATAAAGTTATAAGTATAAAGTTAGTGTTGTTCATTGTTAAACCTGATAATTTAATGAATGAATGTTAGTAGTCTAGTACTAGTAGTCTAGTAGTAAGTAGTGTTTGTCTTTAGTCTTACTTTATATTATTATAGTGTTAAAGTTTAGTACTTGTAAAGAATTTAATTAGTGTTATTGTGAGTGTGACTCCGAAAATAAAAATTACCTAAATTTAAATCTGCATTAACTGGTATTGGAAAACGAGCTACTTGGAGATTTAAAAACATTAAAATGCAACAAAATCAAAGAAAGACTGAAGAAAGTAAACGAAACAGGCACAACGTATTACCTGTTTGTTTACTTTTAAAAAAGAACGTTGATTTTACTACCGGTTCCGGGTCATCGCTTAGGATACTTAGTTTGAGTTTTTAAAAACATGAAAGTGTTTCGAAGTGTTTTATTAGAATCTTGTCGAGTCTCAATTTACCTTTTGAGTCTTTTGTGGGCATCACGACAAGGCATACATTTTTTATTGTTATTATTTTATTTGGTTTTTGAGTTATAGACATGAGAATGGCGAAAACGCGCGGGCCGCATTATCACTAAACTTTGCTGTCATGTGGCGGGCCGCAAAATATCTTATAATTTTATTGCGGGCCTCAAATGGCCTTTAAGTTATACTATAACTATAAGTTATAAGTTTGAGACCCCTGCCCTAAAATATCTCAGGACCCCTGCTGCTGTAGGGCTTTCGGGGCCCACACGATGGCTCTAAGGTTAAGTAACATCTAAATTTTGTTAGCATTTTTTCCGTTGTTCTCCGAATAAGTAAAGAATTATACAAAACTAAATTTAGGTATGAGCTAAAAGTAAAAGGCATTGTTCTTGAATTATATGTTTAATTACAATTATTGGGGAGAATAAGCTAAGGGGTTAAAGCATATACTTAATGGCGCTACAGCTGGAACGAATTTAGTTCATTCTGGGTTGAGGAAGAGTTACATATGTTCCTGATCGTTACTGTCGCTAATTTTGGTGTTTGCTACTGGAAGGTCTGGACTGCCCTCAACCGAATTGTTTGAAAGAACTCTGAATTCAAGTATGTGGGACACTGCATTTTGAATTTATCAACAAAAAAATTGTAAAGAGACCCCTGTCCCCGCTTTTGCTCCAGAGCTTTCGGCATCCTAAATTTCTGCTCACACTTTCCGTTAAGCCGATCATCGTGATAGTACGGGGTTAAATTGAAGCTTTTACCAAATGATTACCCTGGGGCGCACCACAACCGGAGTGAGTTCAATTTATGTATGTCACTGGGCACCATAACGCCTTCCCCGACCTTTGAAAAACTCCTTCCTGGATCAAATAACCTAATAAAAACACTGAATTCAGGTATACTCCAAAATGCACCTCTTGATTTTGAAATCATCACACATTTTCTGGTTAGGGAAAAGCCATCAGTGCCTTCAATAACAATGACACGATAGTTGGCCCAAATCGCAAAATTTGGTGCCGATAGATACTATGCTTAGTTTCTGTGCCACCCTGAGTGGGCTGAGATTTTGGCCGCATTCACTTTCACGATAAAAACCAGGGCAGACCACCCATCCGCCCTCTTCTCTATACCACTGGCAGTGACGTATCTAGAGCGTTGGCACCAAGGGACAAAATTCACTGCCCCCATCCCCTCAACTTTGAAGCTAATTTTTTCATCTATTAAATACTATAAAATCCAATTTAGCGCCCCCCCCCCCCAATAGTCTGGCCCCCGGGGACATATGTCCTTATGACCCACCCCCCCCCCCCCCCCGGGAGGATAATGTCAGAATGAATCATTACTTATAACAGGGTAGACAAGTACAGAACACTACACAGGGGAGGGGCGGAACACTACACAAGGGAGGGACGGGACACTACACAAGGGAGGGACGGAAAACAAGGGAGGGACAGAACACTGAAGAGAAACAAGATTTACGAGAAAGACTTTTAACACCAAGTCAAGCCTTGGTAGATGGTAAATTTTATATACTAAAAAAAAATGTCACTATTAATGAAGATAAGCACATCCCATGAACATTAGTCTTTACATATCACAAAGGGGTTAAAAATATATATATATATAGCACTCTACCAATAACAAACATAGGGCAACACTGGGAACTTTGAAAATGTACAATCAGACATGTGACACATAACATTGCAACACACTTACACAGACAACACAGAGAAAGCGAAAAGGAATTAGAAATACTCATACCAACAGAAAAATCAAAACCATCCACTCAGCCACACCATCACAACACTCCACTCAACTACACCATCACAACAATCCACTCAACTACACCATCACAAAAATCCATTCAACTACACCATCACAACAATCCACTCATTCACACCATCACAACAGTCCACTCATTCATACCATCACAACAATCCACTCAGCCACACCATCATAACAATCCACTCAGCCGCACCATCTCAACAAGCCACTCAGCCACACCATTACAACAATCCGCTCAGCCACACCATACAAGAATAAGAAGAACTAGAAGCCATCTGACAACACTAGTACAACGTTGCATATGTTATGAGTAGAGTTTTCACAAACAACATAGAATCACCTGAACAGACAAAGATTTATTGGACAATAGAAAAAATCATGCAAAAAGGAGACAGAACAAATCACGGAAACACAAGGGGGAAACACACACTGACACTCCAGAGATAGTAAACATTTTTTTTTTAAACTACACACACCTTTTTCAAACAGACCAGGCGGACTCAGATCTACAAGTCAAGTACACACAATTTACACAAAAATTACAAAGAAAATTAATTAAACACAAGAAATGGACAAAACCATTACATTAGATGACAACATAACATCAGCCCAACATGATCAAAGACAAACACTCAGACAAGACGGCCTAGCAACGAAATTCAAAACTTGTCTTTTCACAACACTAGGACCAATCTTACACACCACCCTAGAAGAAACTTACAACAACAAGGAGTTTTAACACTCAATGAATATTTCATGCATCACACTTTTACCACACACAAAAAAAAGATACAGTCAGAATACAGCTTAAAAAATCACAGACCCAAATGTTTAATTCTCACAAAAACATTAGCCAATAATTTACACCACATTTAAACACCCTAATACAGCGGTTCTCAACCTGTGGGTCGCGACCCCTTTGGGGGTTGCGGGACCCTTTTCCAGGGGTCGCCTAAGACCATCTGAAAACACATATCCTTACAGATATGAAGTAGCAACGAAAATAATTGTGTGGCTGGGGGTCGCCACGACACGAGAAACTGTATTAAAGGGTCGCGGCACTAGGAAGGTTGAGAACCACTGCCCTAATACATGCAAACCAACAATGCAGCATCAAAGACAGGGGAATACATTACGATAATCATTTCATTACATACCTCAATCAATATTCCAATGACAAAATGATCCAAACTTGCATATTATAACTAAGGAAAAGCATTTGATAGGGAAGACCACACATAACTACACAAAATATTACATCACAGAAAATTAGGGTAGTATTTTTTTAATTGGGTTAAAATTTTATACAGGGCAATCGATAATCTTTTAATAAACAAAACATTTTCAGTAGACATTAAAATTAACAGATCAGTTAGGCAAGTATGTCCTTTATCACCTTACCTTTATATCCTATTATCAATTGGACCCACTCTAGAGAGAGTAAGAAGGGATGGGCGTACTAAAGGGGTCGGAATACCCTGGCGAGTAAGGTGATGAAAGATGACACTATAATTTTTCTTACTGATGATAGATCAATTTCTAAAATAATACCAATGTGTCAAGAGTTGGGGAGAGGTAGTGGGTCTGAAGTAAACTTAAGTAAATCTGAAATCATTGGAATAGGTAGGTGGAAAGATAGATTATAATTCCATTTAGGAATAGTAACAACGGTGTGTTCCTATGATTCATAGAAGTGGGTATAAAATAAACATAAATCTGAAATCATGAGGATGAGTAGCTGGAAAGATAGATTAGAAATCCCTTGGAATAGCAAGGAGGGATAGTCTTGGGATAGTCTTGGGATTTATTTTTCAAACAATCAGACACAAACTAAAAGAGAAACATTCCAAGACATTGAACAATCAATTTTTTAAAAAAAACATAATTGATCGATGCAAATAAACAGCACACACAGTGGCGTAGCTAGGGATTGGGGGCCCGGGGGGCTTGGCCTCTTTAGGGGCCCCTGCATTTTGACATTCGACGTTATTTAATGTTTAAAAAAAAATTGGACACGCCTTTGGGGCCCCCCTCAAGTAAGGGCCGGGGGTGGGACTTTCGAATTTGGACCCCCTACCCCTCCCCTAGCTACGCCACTGAGCACACACAATTTTTGGCAGGAGCATAAACATAAACACATATGGCATTCCCACAACAATTTACACGGGGGAACATATGAGGGCCTCCACCAACAGTTTTATGACAAATCAACTCACACATCAAGCAATACACATTCCAAGAGACAATATAAAACATTAAACATACAAGGTCAATCCAACCTAAATTAGAAAAGCGGGGAGGGTGACTGAATTTACAAGACATACAAACAAAACTACAAGCGCTTAGAATCAAATTTATAGGAGAAGCCATTCGAAAGTAGAGAGAAAGAGGGAAATACATTTACACACCATTACATGTGAATTAGATTAGGATAATTAGTAAAAATTGACAACAGCACACCAGAAACAATCTAAATTCCCCACTACTTACATCAAAAGGAGACATATGCGCAAAACAAACAAAAAAATATACACACATTTCATGAAGAGACAAGCAACAGCACTCCACAACATATACGGAACAATAAACGGTGGGGAGACATTTAAAAATACACACATTAAAGAAATACAAAATCAAGACAAAGAAATAACATACGGACTCACAAAATGACACCAGTCTGATTAAGACCATATAAGGACGGAGTGGGAGTGAACAGAATGTACACGCTGCAGGTCAGGGGCTGATGAGACGGAACAACATTTATTATATCTTACATGCAACACAATCTTTACATACAAAATCTACACTTAAACAAATCATACAAGCAGGTACATTTCACACAGTATTTATATCACAGAGCCAAAACACAAAAAACACATTATAAGAATCCAAAAACAAGAAATAAACAACACACAATAAGTATAATATTACTTTCACAATACAGAAAACATGTTTGGCATCACAGACTTAGGGCATTCTTTTCACAAACATAATTACACAAAAATTACATTAGAAACACTTTTTAGATTTAAAATACAAAAGATAACTCAAAACAAAATTTAAGAAAATAAAATAGAATAATATTAAGTAGTTAGTAAGAACTTTGAGGGTGGGGGTGAGAATAGGGGGGGGGGTGAGTTCAGCTGAGCAGCAGCCCTGGGTAGTAAGGGGTGGGGAATGTTGACTTTGTTTTTAACAAGTTGCCAAGTGTAACTATTAACTTACAACTAAATAAAACCTGCAAATTCAGGGGGGGGGGGCGCAAATTCCCCACTTTCCCTACCCAAAGTGACGTCCCTGCTTCCACTTATAAAGTGTAAGCGGAGGGCTTTTAATCCTCTCTAATTGACTGAATTAAAAGGACACAACACTGACATCAAAATAAAGGCTTCTTATCATAATAAATATTTACATACATTTGTACTGAAACTCTGCGACTTAAATTACTTATTACCTATATGTGTAAATTGATGGAAAGGGAATAACTAATAATATTTTTTTTAAACATTCAGGATAAAGTTGATCAGCTATGTTTGATGGCTGAGAGGGTGGGGGTAGGGGCGCAATGGGTGACTGAGAATATTACTGTCAAGGGTATGCACTGGTAAAGGTTGGCTGGTGGGTACCGATGGACGATGAGTTTGGGGAGGGGGGGGGGGAGAGAAATAGGTTCTCGATTCTATAACAATCACTGGAGCAAGATGAGCTTCGCGGAGAGTCTGTTCAGGAAGCAACGGTTAAATTCGCTACTATTCAGCGCTTATTCTCAAAAATACCTTATATGTTATAGAGAACATGCTAAACTAAAGGGGCGCAGATGCTTTCCAGTATATAGTTGTTGTTGTTGTTTAATGATTACCCCCAGATGATCCCCAGATGATGGTAAGCAATTGGGCACGGTTCGATATCAATAGACAACTCCAAAACATATTTTGCCCAGTCCTTGGGGTGAGGGCTTTGTCCTAAAAGCTGGCCAACGATCGCTGTCACTTTTGCCGACGCCGGTGACACTGCCTCTTTACACATTTCTTCTATCGAGTCTTCAAACACCAAACCGTCCAAGCCGATACCGGCAGTGGTTGAAATCTCGTGTTTTAGAAATGCCAGCTCCACCAACGAATTTATTTGCTTTCATTGTGGCTTTTTGCTTCGGGATCCGTTCCCGCGGTGTTCAAGATGACCTCATTCAGTAGGCTTTTTTCGCAGCTCCTTCAGTTTATGCGGTGGGACGGGAACGGCCCTCCTGAAGAAGTCTGCTAAGCGCTGCATGTCGGTTCGTGTGGTAACCCTCGGGAATTTCGTCAGTGGCATGGCGTGATACATGGGTATGTTTGCAAGAGTTTCCCAGATTTTCTTCGGCTCTAGGTCTTTGGCAGTTTCCTGTGAAATATTATCCGCAAAACTCACTGCCTTGATGATCCGCGAGGCACTCAGTCGTCTCATAGTGCGCTTTTCTTCTTCGTCAATTTCAGTTTCCGCAATTAAGAGGAGGCATAACGCGGCCATCTTGTTAGCGTAGGCAAGAACAGAACTCGGGATATCCCGTATGCTGTACTTGTTAAATTTTAAGAAGATGTCCAAGGCCAACTGGTGTGCACCGCATTGTATATAAGTGTATCCAAGCCGAACAGCGGTTGGTAAATTTGTTTCTAATGAGCTGCAATGGTAATATTTGCTTAGGTTCTCCGTGGCTTGTTGAATGTAAGGGTTATTACGGCTGTAAGGCTGAATTCTTTCACCCTCGGCTAAGAGACTGTCCAGAATAAATTCGATATTCACCGGAAGCTGTATTGTCATTGCTGACGGCTCACGTGCAGGATTTGGAAGTTTTGGCCCATTTGTTCGCTCAAAATCGTGCGCTTCTCTTAGCAAAATCAACCCCAGATGATGGTAAGCCCGAGCGTACGGTTCGATATCAATAGACAACTCCAAAAGATATTTTGCCCAGTCCTTGAGGTGAGGGTTTTGTCGTAAAAGCTGGCCAACGATTGCTGTCACTTTTGCCGACTCCGGCGCGAGTGACACTGCCTCTTTACACATTTCTTCTATCGAGTCTTCAAACACCAAACCGTCCAAGCCGATATCGGCAGTGGTTGAAATCTCGTGTTTTAGAAATGCCAGCTCCACCAACGCATTTGCTTTCACTGTGGCTTTTGCTTCGGGATCCGTTCTCACTGTGTTCAAGATGTCGTACGCTTTCTGAGCAAAGTCACAGAAATCAATTTTATCCTTGTCGAACTCGTATGTGTTCCAATGTAGACATCGCCTGTACAGCGTTCCCAACAAGAGGGCAGCCTCGCACTTATCCTCAACCCAAAACTTCAGCGCGAACTTCAAAAGTTCGATACCGGAAATGTTGTTATCGGCCTTGCCGTACTCATAAAATATGAACGCCTGCTCACACAAGGAGTCCGCCTTTAAATGGCGAAACGACCTCAACTTTGGAAGTTCGTTTAGTTGTCTCAGAACATCCTGAAAATCCGACGTTTTCCCTTCCACGAAGTGCAAAACGGCCAGGTTGGCCATGGCGGTGATATTTTGGCCTCCCGTTTTGTAAAGAATTTCGTTGATCAGCTTCCTCGCATCTTCCAATCTCTTTATTTCAACGTAAGCCCTTACTCTCAAATGTTGTCTCCAGATGAGGGGAACCCAAGAGTCGTCTTTGCTGTTCACTTGGACATCGGAAACCACATTAGACCAGTTGATGAACATGTCCAGCAGTGGCCACACGCGTTCGCGGTTGAACACTTTTTTGTCGATGTTGTAGTTGGCCCTGCCGACGTTAAAAGAGCAAGGGTAATCGCGCAAATTCTCTCTGACAAAGTAAAAAACTCGAGAATACAGCAGACGATCAGGGTCCACGGTGGCCTTCTCTGAAAGCTCGGCGGACTCGTCTTCGGACGTGATGGTAGATTCGGCCACTGGCTTGGTCGTCAGCGATCGCTGGTGTGTTGGTCAGTCGAATTATTGGGGACGCCATCATGGACTAGTAATTCCTGTGGACATAAATAATTACTTTTTTTGTGACGGTTTGATGACGGCATAAATAGTTCATATCTAATAGATAACCGTATAAAATAGTGTACGAACGCGCTGAATGGTAAATTAAAAGCATGATAAAGGTGTACGTACCAATTCTTAGAAAAGGAGAGACGTTTGCAGTACAGTGTAGTTAGAGAGAAGTACATCAGAAATGATCTACAGGAAAGGTATTAGTAATCAGACATAAAGAGGGAAACAGAAAATATAATCGACAGAAATGATAGACATACTATTTTTTATATCATTATAAAGCGAAGGTCGCATAGGGGGTTATCATAGTCTTTATTCTTATCCTAATTTACGAATTCATTAATTTCCCTCAATAAGCATCGATCAAATGGTTTTACAGTTGATGATTAGATATCGATTTTTTGAAACCCAACAGCCAGTGAGTGACCTGAAACCCAACAGCCAGTGAGTGACCTGAAACTGAGGCAACGGATTGATGACGTAGAGACGGATTTACATCAGATGTGGGGGGGGGGGGGCAGAACAAAAATATATAACCTGGCGACGAAAAGTCATGGATTTGTCTGAGTGGAAGCAGTGGCGTAGCTGATAGGGTTTGTGTCACCCGTTGCGGTAAACTCATGGTGTCAGCCCCCCAACACCCTTTTTCCCCCCGACTATCACGGTGGATTTCTTCTTGTTAAATAAGTCCACAGTATAACAATGACAAGAACAAAAAACAAATTAATTAAAAGTCAGGGGGTAAATGTATGTAAGAACTGTAACATGCACTTAAAATCTACTGACGACGTCGTAGTTGGTATCAGTGGAATACTTTCTGTCTCAGAATCAAGATAAATATAACTTCCTGTCACTTAAGAAAGTTACTGAACACTTCAATCGGCGTTGAATCATGGGCAAAACACTGTTTTTCTTAACTAATTATAGGGCCACCTTGCTTCTGACTCATGAACCTTGAACTTTTAATAAATATTTTAATAAAGACTGGTTACCTGTGTGGACAATGTACGTGTGATCGGTTATCCCTTTATGAAAATTTAGTTAGACCGAGCAGTGTGTGCATTTATAAATATGCAATTTTTCAATTTGGTGTCACCCCTTGAGATGATGTCATCCGTCCGGTCTGCACCCCCGCCCCGCACCCACCTAGGTACGCCACGGAGTGGAAGAAAATGCTGAAACAGGACAGAGCCCGTCCACGGTCTGTAGGGCCACTGATGGTGATGAACAGTTGTTGTCACCAATGGTATTCATGAAGTGAAACAATGTGTTGGACAGTTGGGCCCATATCTTAACTACAGTTTAAGGGGTGCACAAGATAAACGTTTCAAGACATCAAGACAAAAACAACAACAAAAACTTTAATATTAAAAGTATTTCCTTCCTTACAATGTTGTTTTGTTGTTTTTTTTACATGCCATTTACAAATTTAAAGCTGCAGTCAGCCTGCTGCCATAAAAGTAACCGATCAATTATTTCGTCATAGTCATTTATTGTTGTTGGTTTCTCCTCTCCTTTCTCTACTCGGCACAGCAAGATCGCAACGGTCTGACATGACCCACGGAGTTTCTAGACAGATAAGAGATTATTAGTCATTAGCTTAGGTAAGGGGGGTGTGCAGAGGGGGGAGCGGGCCGTACCGGGCGGCACTTTCTTTTCTTTATATGGAGGGGTTGTGTTTTCGGCCTACTGCAGAGTTGTCGTTATTTACGAGGAAAAGGGGGGGATGGGTCGAAAAAGTCTTGGCTCGCCCCGGGCGTCAATTACGCGACTGTTATTAGAGTTGACTTCCGGAATGATTTTTCATACATTTGGATATGAAATTGGCAATGTTTACAATTATCTAATGGGAGTCGCTTAGTCGACTGATTTGTCACGTGATGAGAGTAAAAACGAGTGAGACTTCCGGTAGGCTGTATACAACACACTAGTGCTTGACAACAGTAGCCCGTTACACACTACAACTAGAAATTCAAGATGCCTAGCAATGTTCGGCTTTTGGCTGTTCAAACAGTCAATTTAAGCGGTATAAGTCTGCATAAGTTTCCGCTTAAGGATAAAGAAAATTTAAGACAATGGCTTGACAAAGTTGACCTTCGTTAATTATTCACATGAAATCTTGTTCCAACTGGTTATTAAAATATTCATTCGCCGCACCAATATTGAATAAACACGCAAATGACGTCATGGGTATGCCGACATTTCATCCAATGAAAATTAACAATAAAATAAACAAAGGGGAATGACTCCTGCACAAATATTTAAAAAACACGCAAATGTCGTCATGGGCAATCACGGAGCTCAACAACAGCCTGCCGATGATAGCATTGATAGTTCCCATCGAATATCGCTCACAATTTTTCTTGAAATAACTTTCTTCCTTTAATCATAACTGACGTATATTTATTGTAACATTTATGTATTTCATTTAAAAAACGCGTGCATTCCAGAATATTTGAAAGGTAAAATTTTTAAGTAACGTGACATTGGGGAAGCACTGATGGAGTATCTTTTGTTGTGTGTAGCAGCCTAGTGATGGCTTACTCTCACCACGTGACCAAACAAGGAAGTGACTAAGCGACTCCCATAGCTAGCCCCAAATAAGAAGGGCACCGTTTTCTCCATATTATATGTATATATATATATATATATATATATATATATATATATATATATATATATACACATATATAAAAAATATATATATATATATATATATATATATATAGATACACAAATATAAAAATTACAGTGTATAATAAGAAAGTCCAGACTAACTGGCTGGCTGTTAAGAGTAAACAGGGACGGATCAGTTGTGCGAGTGTTCACGTGACAGCTTAAGTTAAGTGAGGTCCGTGGAAAGGAAATAGCTGCACCCGGGGGAAAAGCACGAATTGAGCACCATTTCGCACCTACCCAATTTATACCTCTTATTTTAGCCCCATGCCAATAACGTTGTGTGGTTTTATGAAAGCGATTTTAAACCCTCTCGATTCCAAAATATTTCTGGCGCTCCATCTTCCGGCTAAAATATCGGAGTTTTCCTTCTTTAATTAACTTGCTAAAAATTAGACACAAACATAATTCACCACAAAAGACATCTGCCGCTGTTAATAAAAAAAATACCTGATTTGTTTTCAAGTCAGCCAAAACCAGCAATGAAGAAAAGGGTATTGATCTTTCCACACCCTCTGGGGGAGTCCGTGGTTGAGAACCCTTGATCTGAGCATATCATCCATCAACTATCTGTAAGTTTTGTTCAGGAACAGATTTGCACCGACAGATCCGATTATTTTGCTTTACACTTTACACTGACATACTTTGACCGAGGCAACAACACTAAATAATTAAACAAAACCCTGGAAAACTTCAGTTAAAATTCAATGTTAACCATGTTTGAATTTTTTTTTCCGTGTACATACTGCATCCTAAGGCATAAGTTTAGGCTCCTCATATCGCATAAGAAAAACATTCAGGCAAATCTGAACCTACCTAAACACGAAGATCAACACATTACCACACAGTGTTGTGTGCTTCGTTTGTTGATATTTTAAGTAGGTCGGGTTCGTACACACGACAGCCACTGCACGGCTGAGCGTAGATAAACCACAACAAACGATAGGCTACTGGTGTTTAAACCAGTGGCGTCTACAGATTGGGGTGGGGGTGGCAGTCGTTTCTAATCAGAGTGAAAAAAAAAAGGGGGGGGGGGTGAAAATCCTCCTGCCTGCTTTTGAAAATCTCCAGGGGCGTTGTATATTTTAATTGTGAGGGTAAGCTGGGTATTGATCTCCAAACCTCTAGTTTAGCTCGGTCGATCATAATAAGAATTTTAATAAAAATCAAACCCTAAATATATTATAGACCCAGTAAAATTATTTTCTATACGCCTATATTTACTTAGCATGCTATTTTATTTGCCTTGATTAAATCTTGTATCTCAATAATGGACATGTTCACTTCGTCCCATCGATGGACTTGACATGTTGGCACGGTCATCCAGTCTCGGTGACAGTACAAAGATACGTCATCAGCAAGTCGCCAGCATGTTCCCTTCGTCCCATCGATGGACTTGACATGTTGGCACCGTCACCCAGTCTCGGTGACAGTACAACGATGCATCACCAGCAGGTCGCCAGTGAATTCCATGGTCCCTTGAGTGTCTTCTGCGAGTCAAATCTTGAATCTGAGTTTTGACCCACTCTCCAATTGAGCTGAAACTTTGGACACTTACCCCCCCCCCACTTCCCATAAGAATACAACCCATCGTGATCAGTGGGTCACCAGTGACCTCCACTGATCATTGGGCGACCTCTGCGAGTCAAATCTTGAATATCAATTTTTGAACCTATTCCCGATCTCCAGCTGAGCCGAAAACTTTGCACAAATACCATACCACGATGACAATACAACCCTTCACGATCAGTAGGTCACCAAATGACCTATATTGACCCTTGAGTGACCTATATTGACCCTTGACTGACCTCTGCGTGTCAATTATTGCATCTCAATTTTTACACAGTATATTTATGCTTTACATCTTCTAGGAGTAAAAAGTAAAATATAAAACAATTTTTTTTTAAAATAGCTTCTTTAAAAAAAAAAAAACGCTTTTTAAAAACAATTACTAGAAAGTATAAAATAAATCTCCCCAATAACATGTTACAGTCATAAGACTACTAAAAAAATTTGGGGCGCCTATGAAATACAAAGACAATGTATGACCTTTTTTTCTCTTATGTCATGTTGATCTGTCCGTTTGTTAGTGTGTGCGTGTGGTCAAATCTTGCATCTCAATTGTGACCTCCTTCCTGATCTCAAACTGAGCTGAAACAAAGAAAATTGGTTTCATGGGCTCCCCACACCTTTTCTTTTTTTCGGTTGTGATTGTAACAACTCATGAGGCAGCAAACTCCCCCCCCACCCCCCCCCCCCGGACGTGTGTACGCAGGGCTTAACGACCTGGCCATGTGAAACAAATAAAATAAAAACGATACAAAAGCCAAACAATAAAATAAAACCCGGACTGATTCTAATGGAAATCGACCTTATGCGTGGATATGGATATGTTGTTTTCGGATTGCGACTTGGGACATACTAAGCATGTTGCTTAATAATTTTCATATTAATTTTTTTTTTATCAAACTATGATCCATCGCCCAACCTGGTGTGGCGTACAATCTGTTTAAAAAGTTTGAGGACTCTTGTTCTAAATTTCAGAGAGCATGTCTGGCACTGTCACTTTAAATTAGTCCGTGGTTTAGACGGGACCTATTACACAAATAAGAGCTTTTCTTAATCGACGTAACTTCATTATTCTATATAAATATATATAAAACTCGACGGAGAACGGAGCGGAAGAGTATAGTCGTACTAAAGTAGCATCCAATAATATGTCTGTAGCGGAGCTCGGCAAAATTCTGCTCCGGAGATCTTCATCCAACTCTGTTGTTAAGACTGCCGTGGGGCCCTCTTTCGGCCTCTTGTGGACTGTCACTCCCGTAATTAAAAAGAAATATTATGTGCAGTGTATGTCTGGAAAAGACAGTAACTTGCGCTGTCAAGGAAAAAAGTGGGAGGGGGGGGATGGGGGGCACCTGACCCCGAGAGGTTTATTTTTTTATGGCAAGGGAGGTACCAGATACTGAAAAAATATTTTAGAGATTTAAGAGTGAGCTCCCTTATTGCCTCGTTTTGGCTGTTAGGTCTCCGACTAAGGAAAAAATTTGTTTGTCGCCATTTTGTACAACAAACGGTGTTATTGTGTTGATTTCTGTCTCAAGTGCTTCCTCCGGGATGGGGGAAACAAAAATCATCTATCATATTGATGATGAAGACACTCCTTACTTAATTAAGCTTCCTATCCCTGCTGATAGGGTTACTTTAGGTGACTTTAAGAATGCCTTGAACCGGCCAAACTTCAAGTTCTTTTTCAAGTCAATGGATGATGATTTTGGGCAAGTAGAAGTTACTTTAACAATTAGACCTAAATTAAAATTTAGATTAAGGTATTTGAAGAAAAGTTCTGCTGTCATGCTAAATGTTAATATTGCCAAATTGGAGCATCTATTTTTGTGTTGAATGACAGTGAAATAAGACTGATTGTTCATTGTAAACTACAAAATCAAGTTCATTTTAGTATGATTTTAGTCCTAATAGTTTCAAAATACAAAGTGGGTATTCTTACAGTCTTACAAAGTCACTGAATCATGGGGCGAGTTGAGCCCTTAAGTAATTACGGCTTCTCGGAGCTCAATTTGTTATTATAGCAATGCACAGACGCACAACAATCAATGATCAATGCTTCCTCGTTCCTCCCTCTTGCTGACGACATGCCATCGTCGCCAAGGCTTAGAATTGCATGAATCATTACTGAGCGATACTCTTGAATGACCACTCACGAAGAATCGCATCCCCAGTCTTGATACTAACTTCGTATACCATCATTTGTGGGCCCTGAGCCGGAAGGTTTCCAGCAACTAATTTTGCAGCCACGAGATAGCCTAGCTCACAATGCCCCCATGTAACCTGGCGACTGTATGCAGTTGTGGAAATTGGCAGCGAAAAGTCCCACTAGGTAGGGCATCAGATCATAAGAAAGCTATCAAAATAGCTGATGTCAGTAATTGTGCTGTGCAGTGCTGGTATTAGACAAACTAAAAAACTAATCTGAGACTGCGTTTTTCTCCCCACTTCATCTTTGGTGTTCCGATTTCAATATCTCAGCAATAGCCAACAATAAAGTCACTGCACTCAGTTTTGTACCCGGCACTAAGTTTTATGGAAAGGAATTAAAATCATAATGATTCGGTTTCCAGGGCCTCAATTTGTTATAACGTTATGTACATGCGCAATAAATTTTAAACTTCTTGTTTCCTCAATTTTGCTGACAGCACGCCATTGCCATCACATTATAATTTTTTTCTAAAATATCCTTAAAATGTATATTAATTTGCATGCAGTTAGGGTCATGTAAAGATTGGGTTAGCGATTTGTGTTTTGCTAAAAGTTGTCTCACCCTATTCCCAGTGTCATCACTTTGGTGAATCACAACACTTGACTTGGATGAATAGATCAATTTTTGGACCTGAACAATGTGTATAACTTCCCCGCTTGTCTCTGAGCATTATTCCCGTATTGCTAAATCTGATTGTCAATAAAGTTAATATGAAAAATGTTCATATGAAATGTATGATTCTTTTTTTATTAAAATTCAACTTACAAGGTTCAAAAGAAATTAAAAAAAGAAACACATCCTAGCTTATACCCCAAAGATAAAACATCAGTGGGGGGGGGGGCACACACATCCATGTAACCTATTTCTAGCAGGATTATAGTTATATCTGACAGATATAATAAAGTTGCTACAGTCATCCTGAATTATTTTTAAGCTCAGGCCAATTCTAGGAAGGAAGCATTGAGCTCTGTCCATCACATATTCTGCTTATGGCACTTGTCATCCTGGAGGTTGAACTCATTTGTATAAGCCATATGATGATAAATTCATTTGAAGTGTGGACTATTGCTGTTACACTTTCCATTTCCATGTCTTTCAAGTGTCCCTTCCCATGCCTTGTGGTCTTTTCCTACTCACACATTAAAATCCCAAAAAACTCTGAGCTTCTTAGAACTTGTTTCACCCTTTGAAATGAGTATGTGTCGTGTAGAATTTGTATTTTCATACCCTTGAAAGGTAATTATTAATGAAATGGAAGTAATTCCAGCCTGAAATAGGGGTTGTAATATTACTAGAATTTGTAGTTGTAATTAAGATGTGATGAGTAGCAGGATCGTAACTTGCTGAACTCACTGAGTCAGGCATGGGTCTTGGTAAACCACATTTAGACATGCAATTTTGAAGGCTGGAATTTGAGTGCCTACTTGTTAAGCATAATGATTGCATTGACCTCTCACTGCTGGGTGAATAATGGGAACAAAGTTAAATTATTTGGTCCACTGGGACTCGACGACTGTAATCAAGCAAGTGGATTTATTTATGCTGAATGAAGAAATCCCAACTTAATTCACTTAATTTGATTAATCAGAAGATTTTTAGTGGGTTGTTGTTTTTTTAATCTGTATTTTAATACATAGGTCTATGCTGAGTTAGTAAAACCTAGACAAATCTAAATAGTTTTTTTTTGGGACAGTACACATAAATTGTCATCCTATTTGGTTTGGGTAATGTGTGGTGAGAATCATACACATTACCTTTATTTGTAATATTAAATGATACTGTGAAAGACATGTTTTTATTACCCCTATTAATGGATGGTGAAGGTGTTTATTCTATACATGTCAGTAATCAAATTGTTTTTATCATTTTGTTGCTTGGGGGGGGGGGGGGAAATTCTTTTTAAAAATTATTTTTTTTTTTTAAAAATAAAAAAATTTTTTAAAAAAAAATTTTTTTTTTTTTTTTTTTTGTTGGGGGGGGGGGGGGGGAATCTCCTTTAAAAAATCATTTTATATTATTAATAATCAAAACATTTTGTAAAAAAAATAATAATATACTCTAAACATTAGTTAGCTCTACATGTC